ACATGGCTGTCGGCTTCTAAAATGTAGCCACGTCAAAAGTTAGTACACTTGGACGCCGCCGAAAGTAGCAAGCTTGAAACGAAAACGCAGTGCAGAAATGGTATTCGCATCAACGTCGGTCTTTTTCTTTTTTATATTAGTGCCGCTAGTGTATTTGCGGGGGTGGATTCAAACGAAGTTCTGAGTGAAAACATTGAAGACGCGAACTGCTTTCACGGCTGAAGGCCCGAGGCAGCGAGACAAGAAGAGCAGACGAACTGCAGGATTTTCACTCGGGAAAATGTGGCTGCACCGCGTGTTGAAGCTCTTCGTTCTAAATTTCCCGTCTACTCGCAGCATTTTTTTTTTTAATTGTTGCCTTCCCTTGAAGCTATGATGGCACGCGTGCTGCCGGTCTCCTTTCGTACTTACTCCTCTTTCAGTGCACCAGTCGTTTAGTATAATTATCGCATTTTATCTTTATTTCGTTCCAACAACGTACCACAATGTGTTAGTGGGCAGGTGTCTTTTCAAGCCTTTTATTTATGTTGTTCCCGGTTATTATTTGCTTTCAATAGATAAAGGTTTAGGGTGTAAACCTATTGGTTTAATGACTGAATGTTACTATAAATAATGACCCTAGTATACAATTTTAGCTGTCGTGACGTTACCAGCAGTAAATGCTGTGCGGAACTTGCACCCTGATCTGTCTGATGCTCCCAAGATTGATTGAGAACAATATTACGATATGAATAGTGGCTTATTAAAATATGACTATTCTATAATTTGAAAGTTTACATGGCACCTAACCAAGACTGAACTGAGCGCGAAGCCGTTTGCGTGAAGATGAGATTGCCTGTTTGCTAGGTCTTTATAGCATGTTCGGATTAAAAATATAAGAACTCTTGTGTACTAGTGCTAGTACTGGCCACCAACGTAAGTTTAAATTTCTCTCTTCCTCAGTGCTTTGTAAGTTTGAAAATGTGTCGATACAGGATTTGCGTTAACTGCATCCCGCTGTGTGGTGTTTCAAGCTGCTCGGTATTTCTAGCTGCCTGATTTAGCTCCTGTCAAAGATCCCACTTGGGTGTCTTTTTCTTGTGTAGAGACAGAATATATATATATATAAATATATATATATATATATATATATATATATATATATATATATATATATATATATATATATATATATATATATATATATAATATGTAATGATGGGAGCAGACATTTAACGTCCAAATTTCAAATTCACACGTCGTGCTCGGTGTCCCACCTCAACCCTAAATAATTATTTATTAAACACGTTTTCTTTTTAAAATTTATTTACGGAATGTTATTTCCTCGTGTTCGACTCTTTAACCACAACGCCCAAAAATAAAAACACAAGTGTTTATTTTATATTATTTTTTAGGTGGGCACGATGCGTTTTATAATTTTGATAGAGGACGCAAGAAAGATCAGGGGTTTAAAACGTACGACAAAAAAATAAAAGCTCGTAGTATTTTTGTTTGCTGTTGTGTATCAGACACCTTTGACGTTTAAATGGTTTTGCGTACAGTTCCTAGCGATGCGAGCTACACTGCGTAAACTAGTACCAGGCAGCTCAAACCACGCCGTCTGGCGGGCAGCGAGTAGAGGTTCAGAAGGGCATTGGAGGTATTTAAATGTATGTACTCTCCCGCGGCGCGCGATACCGATTTCCACCCCCGGCGCACCCACGGTAGCCTTCATCCGCGTGGTTCGTGTACTGCCTCCTCGCAGTTTGCGCATTCTGGGTGATATCGCTAGCCACTGTATATATTGGATAAACTGGAAGGGCTCGAATCAGTGACTCATGGAACATGCCTCGCTCTGATAAGTCATTGCCCGCGGGGACTAGGGCAATTAACGGCGATATAGATGTGTCTGCGCTGAAATATTGAAGGAAAAAAATTATAGCATATTTCTTTTCACAAAAGGTCAAACATCAGCCAAAAAAAAAATTGCGCACAGGCATGCGCCGCTATCTTAAATTTGTGTTTAGTGCGCAACAAACCCTGAAATATGATGAGCGCCGGGATGATACCTTTTTTCTTTCGCTCATTGATTGTCTTCATATGATTGTTACGTTGGTTGCGGCCGTTATTAAAGGGTAATGCAAGTATAGGTGGGCCTAAAACCAGACATGACTGGAAAACTATAAGGGCGGAATTTATTCCGCAGCGTGCAGAGGGCGATTGTATCAGTCTGGCGTCAGTAGCTTTACTTTCGCGAAGAACTGTCGTTCCTTAGTGAATTAAGCGAGTGTTCAATATAGTACAACTTGGTAGAAATGTCTCTGTCTCGATGGTCACGGCATTTATATGTGTGTGTACTTCTAATTAAAAAAAAAAAACAGTTGCCCGTCACCGCTCTCGCTATGTACTTCCGCTGGTGCTTCGTCCCTGTTCGTGCTGTTTTTGGACTTGTTTCATTATATCACCGACCGCAGTCGACACCACAATCCGCCCGACCCATTTGAGCAGCACCAAAAGTGCACTCTCTCGGCGCGTTTTTTATATGTGACTTTTCTATTACTTGCTAAACCAAATATGTGCGAAATTAAAAGCGCAGGATGACAGCGCATTTATTGTGGGCGATTCGTTTAGTTGTTCCAAAACGAACAAGGCTTTGAGCGCCACGACGTGGCACGTTTGGCGTGGCTGAATGGGTTTCATCAGATCGGAGCGCTGAGTCAACGCCACCTAGATTAATCAAGGCCTTTGCACGACCTCCTCTCCCTTCATGAAACGTCATCGGAGTCGGGCGGTGCTAAATCGGCTACAGGGCCTGAGCCCGACCTTAGGCGCGCTGATTGAATGCGAACCCCAGCCGAACACTGACGCAGCACACGTGCTCAATCGCAGGCCACGATCGATCTGACTCCGATGACGGTGCGGAGGTGGTGCGGAGGCCTTCTGCTTGTCTAGGCGGTATCAGAGCCGTATATTGGGAGAGTCTGGCCAATCGGCGGAGCAAATTAAGGCCGCCACCAGCGCCTAATATTCCCCCCCCCCCCCCCCCCCCCCGCGCTTAGAGAGTAAACTAAAAGTGCGACACAGTGTCGACCAATCAGCAGATCGAGACGTCACAATATTGGAGACGATATTTAAAGCGTGAAATACGCCTCGCAAGTGGGCTCATTTTCGTCTTCTGCGCATGAGAAAGGAAGTAGTGGTGACGTCAGAACGCCGAACCCTGATTGGCTGATCGCGACCCCCTATCTGAGCGTCGTCTGCTCGCAACGTCTTCTGCTCGCAACGTCTTCTGCGTCTGTCTTACCTTTCCTGCGACTTTCGGAAGTGCAGGTCTTTACGAGCGAGCTCGTCTTCGCCTTTCAGAGAGGGCAGACGAAATAACTCGAGCGGTACGTGGTTTTTGTCTAACAACGAGCAGACGCGCATCAAGGAGGGAAGTCAAAGGACTCACTGGCGAGGTGTCCCGAGGTGCCGAGGTTTGTTTGCTAAGAACCGAGAGGTGAGGGTGGTTAGTGTCCGCAAGTTCCCTCCCAAATACTTTTTCCCTCCTTTCGTGTGCGGCGAGACCCCTCACTCTCTAACGGCGTCGACGGGTTGGCGCAGTTAACGTCGTCTGCTTTACGTGTGGTAGTCAAAGTGATGGCTGCTCTACCTTTCCTGCGTCTGTCGGAGATTCACCGCTTTTTTACCGGCGAGAGTCACCGTTGCCTCGGGAAAAACGGAGATAACAAGAGGAAGAAATTGGCCTCTTAATCTAAAATTGAGATCAGCGATCAAAGTATAATACGGGAAGGGTTCACAAAGGTCGCACGGGCATATTCCATTCAGCACGCCAGCCGGTCGTGGGCAGACGGTCGCCGAGTCGCGGAGTGCCTGCTAGGCCTAACTGCCGTGCTCGCTTGGTCGCGTTCGGTGGAATCGTGGCCGTCGGAGCTTTTCCCGGGTGTTTGTGGATCCAGCGTTCTTGTTCGTCGTGGTCTGTTTCAAGTACTTTTTGCTTTTTTCTTGCTGCTTAAAGTCGGGACGCGTGAGAAGCGCACGTAGAAAAATAAACGTCCGTGGGTCGTCGCGACCGCGACGCTGTCGGCCATGCTCATTTGATCGTGAGAAGTGCGCGAGACAGCTTCGGAGCTGTCGTAGGATCTCGTCATAACCTGCGCAAAACTTACGAAAATTTCGTTTCGTGAACACAAATTTGTTCTTAAGTTTTGTCTTACGCACATTTTTGGCGTAAGATCGTTTCGTGAATCTGGCCTCTGCACTTCCGAAAGTCTCAGGAAAGGTAAGACAGACGCAGGCGACGTTGCGAGCAGACGACGTTGCAAAGGAGCAGACGACTCTCAGATAGGGGGTCGCCATCAGCCAATCAGGGCTCGGCGTTCTGACGTCACCGCTACCCCCCTGCGCAAGAAGCAGACGAACTTGCCCTCCGCATAGAAGCGTTCAATCTCGGCGTTTCGGTGAGAGTTTGCTCTGCTTTGGAGGGCACGTTCGTTTATTTTACAGTTGAATATGGACATGACGGAAACCTCATGTGCATGCGCCAAGTTTTTAGTCACCAAGTTTTAAAACTTCTGACTCTAGCGCCGCTGAAGCGACTTAAATTAGTCAAGTAGAATTTTCAGAGATCAGAACCACCACTAGGGGCTGTTTCGCGGCCTGTGGCTGGCCACGAGATTCTCGCCTATTCAAACCAATGAATGGCGAAACTCTCCCAATACTCGGTTCTGGATGGTGTTTTTGGATGCGGTTGGACTACGTGTGATACAAAGTATATTTTATTGCAGACGCACTGCAGGCATCAAAAAACAAGGCACTCGGAAAATTCGCCACATTTTAATTAAAATATCGCGTCATAAAATTGTCTTCGCTGTCAGGCGCCGCTCTCTTTGTCTATTTTTGTTCGTCTTTCGCTCGTCTTCGTGCCGTCGTTTGGTGACTTTTTTGTTGTGTTTTTTTATGCAAAATTAATTCGCCCAAACTTTTCGTAGTGCTACAAAGTTGGCTTTGTTTCCTCGCAGGAGGAATGGTGCTACCGGTGAACTTCCGGCAGACCGTGGACTCCCGGGGTCGACTCCTGGTGCGGCAGGCTCAGAAGTCCGCAGACGAAGGCGAATACTCCTGCATCGTCACCGGGACCTCGGGCCTCACAGCCAGCGGGTCCACGTACGTCTCGGTGGTCGGTGAGTGCTCCGGTCTCTTTGCGACCCCGGCTAACTAGCATCTTGCTATTGATGCACACCCAATGATATAGCATCATTTGTTGCTGGGACCGCCGAAGATGGAATAACGGAGCAAGAATCAACACAAGAAGCAACGCTTCGCGTTCCTTAAGCTGTCAGGTCATCGTAGTTCACCGCACTGATTATATTCTATCTGTAAATTGAATGCAGAAAAAACCAGGATTCTAAGAGCGTGGTTTTTTCACGAAAGGTCATGTAAAGTAAGGGCCTTCGATCTTAAAAGGAAGAACGTTGTTATTGGTGGAATTTAATAATGAGTCAAGTAAAAAATCATTGCATAATTTCAACTCGCACAATTGCAACCACATTTGAGATATTACGACGGCGATTCCCACTTATAAAAGCAAAGCTTAATAGTAAAATGAATAACTATTATCGGTCACAGGTTAAGAGATCGGTGGAAGCTTCAGCCAACTTGTACACTTTAGCAGAGGGGATGCTGAAAAGCAGGCATTTCTAGCGTCCACTCTGCAAATGTGGAAAAAGAGGGGAGAAGCTTCCCGTGAAGACTTAACCTGTCCCTGACTATAGTAATCCCAGACAATCGTACGAACGTTCCAGTTTGGAATTCTCGCTAGCAGCATGACTTGGCTATACTTTTGCGTTCTTTAAATTAAGAGTTTGTCACACGAGTCCGCAGGGACATAAGGCTGTCGTCCTCCTCCTTGTAAAGGAGTAAGTGAAGACATATTTGTCCACTAATACGCATATAATATATCATTCCTACATGTGGTGGTGCAGACAATCACTCAATGTAAAAAATAACATAATATCAAACCGCCGGTGCAAAATTTCTGCAATCTTGGCCCCAGTTTTCAGAGCCCTGATTTAGGAAGCCTTTGACACATTTTCACCATGTTCAGAATCCTAGTCCTAAATTTTCTACTGCATTTTTCTTGCTTACCTCGTACAAACGTTTAGTTGTTTCTTTGGCCAACCCGCTCATGCCTTATTCAAGATTATAGATCACGAGTAGTTGCAAAGGAAGGGACGAGTCTTTTCTTGTTTTTTTTTAAAACTTATTAGCCTTTTTTTTTTTGAGTGTCCGGTGCAATGTGATAATAAATTACGAACTTTAATATCAACTATTCAAGTCGCCTTTAAACATATTTAACAAGGTGCAATAGGACATTCGTTGCTTTTCGCCACTGAAACCTTTGATAATTGCTATCACCGAAGCTTACTAATAATCTAAAACACGTATTTCTACCGTTAGAACAAAAATCTCCGCGGTTTCTCCGTTCCTCCGCGCTACATCCGAGCGCCAAGCATTAGTTTCATTGCTCTGACGCCGTTGTGAGAATAATTTATACCTTAATTAGGCTGCCTTTCTGCACTTCTGCGTCCGTAGCTTTGCTTCACTACGCCGATATGGCAGCCGATAGCCTTCCTTGTGAACCTGGTAATTGCCCTAATCACTCAGTTGTAAGGCACCCGAAGATGTTTTCCTTCTTTAATCTAGAATTAGATTATTATAACCTGAACACCAACCACCAACACTAAAGATACAAGGTTCTCTGGCCGTGAAACAAAGCCAGACGCAGTGCGAGAGGCCTAAGTCACGGGAACCGTGAGGACTTATTTGTTTGATACTCGGATGTTGAAGTATTGAGTTTTAGACTCTGGGGAATCTTAAATATGGGGCTAACGACAGGGAGCTTTTCATACAGGGAAAGAAGTTTATACGACAGGGAGTAATTTTAGCTGCATCTGTACCATGCAACTCACGCTTACATTGTGGCCCCCATTTCACGCAGTGGCCCCTGTGATCGACGACCATTTCTTTCCGGATGTGATAAAAGTGGAAGAAGGCACTCGCTCGCGCCTCATGTGTTCAGTGTCCAAGGGTGACCCTCCGCTGAGGTTCCGCTGGCTCAAGAACGGGCTGACAATCGGCTCCCACGGCGATCGCAGCATCGAGGCCACCGACGACTCGTCCATCATCAAGTTCGCCCGGGTGCGATTCGTGGACCGGGGCAGCTACGTGTGTTTTGTGTCCAACGACGCGGCCTCCGTGAACCGCACTGTACAACTCGTCGTTCACGGTGAGCCGTCGACCCTTCGACCGTCACCGAGTGCATTCCGTAACGACTCACTCTATCCTCCAGTTACCCGGCCTCCCTTAACTGCTGTCAAATCAAACCTTTGTCACATTTTACCTGATCTAAGGGTGCCCTCGTAATTAAAGTATTAATGGATCGCTCCGATAACTCCGATAACGAGACGATTCATACGCCAGGGCGTCGGTGGAGTATCGGGCATTGCTATCGGTGCTAACACAACGGTATCCTAAAACCATCTGTTGTCTCAGGCATTGCCATGCATACTGCCCTGCAATGTGCTTCTCACACCAATTATTTACTCTTTTTCTTTGAATAGTCTAACCAACGACAACGGATTCCGGTATCGCATTCCCAATGGTCAATATGTCTGCGGATCGCAAGTTCGTCTGCTTCTTGCACAGGGGTTGTGGTGACGTCAGAAGGCTCAGTTCTGATTGGCTCTGGTTGGAAGGATAGTGGGTAGACTTCAAGGCAGCTCAATCAGAGCTTGGTGTCGTGACGTCACCGCAAGCCCTGAAAAAGACACAGACGAAATTGCGCTCGGCACAGTCACTGTTAACTTGAGAAACGCAGGGCTTGGCGAGTACCTCGCGTTCTATTTTAACTACGTAGCCAATAAAATAGCGGCATTAGGCGATAACAGAACATCGAATCACGAAGAAGCGTCAACGTTATAGGCCACGAATTTTTCAAACGTTTGGTGGCCATAGGAATGTGATGATATTTTGTTAAACCTTAGTTTTTATCCGGGAGGTATGATCCTGCTCACTGAATTTTGCAACTTTGCAAAATCAAACAGTAAAACTTTGTATTATTGCCAATTTGTGCGCCGAAATTTCAAGTTTTTTTATAAATAAAAGAATATTTTATCTGTAGTTCATTTCATTTAGTTAATTTACGCAATATAAGCATAATTTCAATTACTTTCTAAGATTTAGGGAGTATCTACTTTTCCACAGCGCACATTGGAAATAAAATCACTGCGATCCGGAAATGGAGTGCAGGGAACGGCGAGGCTCAAAATATGTTTAGACATAAAGTAAGAACCGTTGGCGCTGCGACAATGTGCAAGACGTTTCACGTTCTTACGCCACATTCAATGTCACAACGCAGTGCAATTTTTATACTTTTTTAATCTGCGCTGCAGTTATTAATGGTTGTAGTGTTATGCGGAAAAGTAAACGAATGCGAATTTTGGAGTGTTTGCTAACAGATAATGGATCTCTGGGCATCCAAACTGTGCGTTCGTTAAATCAAATATCGCGACTCCAACTAACTATAGGTGGCGCCACTCATTTTCCAAGATGGCGAGTTTAGTGAGGGTCAGAGATGCGTGCCGCTGTTGAGCCTGTCTAGTGTGCTGGATTCACTGAGCGACACAAATTATTTCTGGCAATACGTGGAAGCTAGGGTGTTATGAGCGAAGGTCACCTCTTTATCTTGAAAACAAAAATGGTGTTTAGCGTAATACTTACTCCAGGAGGCACGTTTTAATTCTGGAGCGAAACCGAAACTAACCACTATTTTGGATTCAATTTTTCGATATAGGTCTTAACTTCGGCTTCTTTCATAACTCAAGATGTGTGTCACGTCGTAATTATTTAGTTAGACAAGTTGTTCGCGGAAACTTTATTTTGTGACATCCATGTTCGATCCAGGCTGATATTTGTGGTTGTTGTAGTTGTTGAAAAAATCAGTGCTGATATTTGTGCGTTCTCGCTGCCTTTTCTCGCTCAAATACTTATCATGGGAAATAATGAACTTCGGGCCTTTTAAGGGGTTTTGGGGTGTTTAGATGATCAATTGGCTTAACATTATTCCCAGCACAAGAATAAGAGAATAATTCCAATTTTCACAATATGTCCACAAAACGTATAAATTGATAAACGCTGTTCTCACTGCAACAACCCAGACGGAATCCGAGTCAGACAGCTGAAGTGTGCATGTGTTTTTATAGCAATGCGTGACGCATAGGACTTTATATTACATACAGTGTTTGACTGTTTGTCTATCTTGATAACGATGCCAGAGTTTTTCATATGCTAAAAAGAACAAAAATATACCTTTCTGGAAAGACTATTATGCTTAAATTACGTAATTTCGTGATATTGGTGTTAATTGGGGCATGCATTGCCGCGATTTGTATCAATAATAATAATATTAAGAGTCAGATATTTTAATACCTAATTTTTTAAGCTCTAATGTAATTTGTTGCTTATGATCTAATTTCAAACGTGCGAACAAATATGACAATCAAAAGTGTGGTAATTATCATCACTGGTGCGAATTGCAGCATTTTTAATTACCAAGTAATAAAATAAAAATTGTCTAAAATCAATTAAAGCATTCTAGCTAATGTGAGAAATCCATGTAAAAATACACTAATTGTGGGTAAAGTATATTTTGCTATCAAAGTCGCGACTGTTGACAATCGGCAAAACATCGAAAATCGCCCAAATGTACCAAATGTAAAAAAAAAAAGAAAAAAAATATTTAAAAAAACAAAAAAAACTTTTGTTTTCATTATTAATCTTTTTGTGACATTTAGTTAGTTTCATTTTTACGCTCCGTCGTTTTGCCAATCTCGGCCTTTCCAGTTGGAAGGAACGCCTACCTGCTTGCACGTCTGCTCACTGCAGCACTTTTCGTTGGCGTTGGAAGCCGGTGAAACAGTCGTGAGTTTTAGTATTGCGTATACTAGCGAACGCAAGCGGTGTGTGTTTGCGTTAGCTTTGCGTATTCCACCTGCGCTTGCGCGAAGCCCGAAATTGCGGTCTTGGATGGCACATGGCGATGAGGCGCACGCACAACGTGGGGCACGCAACTCTCACGCAAACACACACCGCTTGCGTTTGCTTCTATGCGCAATACTAAAACTCTCCAGTAAGGTACAATCCCATACCGGCTGCAGCACTACGTTGGGACAGTGAAGAGCGTTGTTTGCATTCGGAAATGACATTTGGCGAGCCACGATCGCGAGCGGTTCCGCCGTGCCCGCTGAGCAGGAGAATCGGGGGAACCTCACTAGAGCGCTTCCCGTTTGCGCCGCGGGAGGGCGAGCGTCGAGCTGGAGACGCGAATAGCAACAAGTTCTGAACCAAGTCTCCCGAAATTCGCTGATGGAGCACTAGGGTGAATAGGGCAATTGAGAGAGTCTTTTTATCACCATTAATAAATTATACGCGTTGTTTGTGAACAAGACAACCAATGTGTTTGAATAACTAAATAAACGAAAACGTTTATTAGGAGACCGAAAATGAATAATTGAAGCCACGATTATGTGCATCTCAGGAGCAGAGAGTATTTAGGCAGATTAAAAGTAATTGGTATTGCATGAAAATTTGTACAGAGAAGAACAGTACACATGGGGGGGTTTGTCCTTGATGTACGGGCTACCGTTTTTACGTTCTAGACACGCACTTTAACCAAACTGTGCAGCCTTGCTTGCCTTGTATTGTTATTATTATTACGGTTCTGATCATGTAGGCCGTTTTAGGAACGCATTATCTCTCAAGGAACCAGAAAAATAATAAAAAATAACTTCACTTAACTGTAACTTTATTCGCAGCACTCAGTCGAAACCAGACATCTAATCAAAGTGGATAAGCTTGGTTTACCACAATTGCATATGTGTAAAACGGCCTAATGTTCATTGCTCTTTTGGGTCGAGGTCCTCGAGATGTAAATCGTGGTATTTAACTCAAGCGGCCCATAGTTTGTCTGTTAATGTATAAATGCAATAAAATCGTTTTCTACTAAGTTAAGCCACTCATAAAAGTGAAACACCGAATAATAAAAATAAAATGCAGCGTGTTTCGTATTCACCATCAAGACTAATTTAGTCAGGTATAATTAATAACGTAGGTAAATCTAGAATTCCGGATAAAGAGCGCCGAAGTTCAAGCACGAAGTAAAGAAAGTAGTGTTAAAAAAATGTCCTTTCCTTCTTCACTTTGTCCGTTTTTCGGCGCTTCTTTCCGGTCATAAACACACTAGCCAAACAACAACTTCTTGCAAGTTTAGAAGAATTACTTTTTCTGAACATTAATTCTAATCTCGGTATTAAAATAAATCATAATAAATGTGTCATTTTTAATATCACTTAGAACGTTTATATCACACGAATTTGATCTCACAGTTCTTAAACAAAAGCAATGTATATTTTTTTTTACTTTGCCAGCAGTCCTGTAATGACCTCTTCACCCTCCCCCCCCCCCCTCCCCCCTCCACCATTTTTGCCTCGATCAAAGTCTCCGCTTCGTTCCTACCCTGTCTTAAAAGGGTAACAATTCGTTCTGATACAGTGAGTCCAAGGTGGAAGACGGAACCTCAGAATGCGTCGGCGGTGCTCGGCGCTTCAGTGTTTCTTCACTGCGCTTCGGATGGATTCCCCTCTCCCGCCATCACGTGGAAGAAAGGCGAGGGTAAGTCAACGTAAATGTCTCCGACAGCTTCAAGTTATTTACAATTGTCCTTTTAGGTTTGCATAATGTTTGTGCCTATCTTAGGTATGTTGCCGTAGTAAATGTCAGGGTGAGATCTGCAGGCATGACCTTCGCGTGTCACGCTTTCAACGCGAGCTTCGTATCTTTGAGCATGTGTCTGCGTCTCGTGCTCCTCAAGCGCGCATTCGCACCAAAGGCGAGCAGGAGCATAGCCTCCGCTACACTCACAGAGCCTGGCAGTTCGACGACGGAGCTATAGGGTGTTCGGTCGCAGACTTGGAGCACGATCATCTGGTAGCACAGAGTATCAGAGAGCCATATTTTGTGGAACCTGGACGTCAACGCACAGCTTTTACGGCATCGATGACCCGAAACACGCTTGTTCGCTCAGTAGAAGTGTGTTTCGGCGTCTCGCCGCAGCTGGGCGCCAGTCACGTGGTTCTTCTCTGATCGGTTGTTTGCCGCTCCACTTTTTTTCATTTCGGCGGCCGCTTCTTGTTGCGATCTGCCAGGCTTTGTTAGTATAGAACAGGCTATGGCAGAAAGCACGTATTGCGTGCTGAAAGCCGGGCGTTCAAAAGACACGCCGTGCCATTTTCATTTCATCAGTGACTGCAGGCGGTATTAATGTTACGAACAGGCTGGGCTTTTGTTTAACATTTTTTGCCCCTACTTTTTTGTTTTGGCAGGAAGCGCCCCGCGCAACTTCTCGTACATTCACTACAACTTCCGCAAGCACCACTTCATCAACGGCAGCCTGCTGGTACGGGAGGTGGAGGAGTCCGACCAGGGGTTCTACCTGTGCGAGGCCCAGAACGGCATCGGACCGGGCATCAGCAAGCTGGTATTTCTCAAAGTGCACGGTGAGCGGGCTCTCGCAAACCCTTTACTTTCGGTTACAGACAAGCGCACCGTATATCTTGCAGCGGGTTCAAGGTTAGAGGTGTGAAATCGCGGATGATGATTCAATCGTCCGCGTATTCCCGCCCCCAGTCTTGCGCCGGTGGCACGAATGGTAAACTTAGCGCACCCTCGCACTTTCCACGTGCTCAAAGTCCGGTGTTCAATAAGATCAGCAAGGTGTTACTCAAAACCCTTTGTTTATTTTCACTAGCTAAAAATGAATAGTCATATTTTAGTTAATTATTTGACTTATCGTGACAATTGAAACGCTGTATTATGTCACCCTGGCGGTTAAACTCGCCTGTACAGACCGCGTTAGTGTACCTTTTGTGGGTTTCTTTTTTTTTTAAATAAATATTTTGGAATAAAATATAAACAGCCTGTATAACTATGCCTCAGGGGCCTGATTAAACTGGTTGAATGGAAGCTGCCTCAATGTCTTGGCAAGTAATTATTGTGGTCTTCATCATGGCAAAATAGATAGTCAATTTAGTGTGATTAGTAACACGTAAAACGTTCAAAGTTACTATCGGAATCAGTAAATTAAGCTTATCACCTTCCCCAAGTAAAGCGTTATTTTTAGAGCCGCCGATTTAGTGCATTACAGCAAACGCTGTCGTCCCTATGTAGGCAAGGTTGTTATAACCTCATATACAAAAACAAGCATAACAAATGTACAACTAACGCTTGATATTCGGTGGCGTGTTTTTCTTGCGCAGTTCCACCTCGGTTCGAGGTGAAGCATCGCAGCTTCCTACTGAAGAAGGGAGAAGATTTCCGCCCCCAGTGCTTGGCGGCCGGCGATTCTCCGTTGCTCTATTCGTGGGAGAAGAACCAGAACCCCCTTGACGCCGAACGGTAAGAAAGCAAAGTCGTTCGTCTACGAGCTCTAGGAAACGTAAAGTGTATCTTCCGCATTGAACAACCACCACCTATAAAACTCAAAGCCCTTGAACAGCCTCAGCCCAACGCAGACGCAGCACTTGTGCGCAATGTGCGTCTGCGCTCTTTCTCACTGCGATAACGTCTAAGATGCCTGGTGCATGAAATTTCACAATTCTAGGGGGCGTCAATTGAACTGCTCCAATAACCTATTTTCATATTGGAGCATTAGCCGCCCCGAGGCCGCCATATATTGCGGAAGGCGATTTGAAGAGTCATTGCAGACGAGTGCTTCGTCAGGGTTCGGGGCGCACTCGGCTCCAAATCTATTGGACACGAGGGCTACGTCAGCGCTTGGCGCCAAGTCGGATCCAAACAAACGCTTCCCGCTTAGACCGATGCCCAGAATATGGCGGCCGGTAGTTTTGCCTGGTTTACGTTTGGAAAAGGCCTATTTATAGGAGCCGTCGTGACAGATGGCATGGCTTTTTATCCATCTGACCGAGTATTGCTGAATTGTGTGCACGCTAGCTGCTTCTAAGCCAGACGTATGTACGGTACTAAGAAATGTTTCTGAGTACAGGTGTTCGTTACGCATAACCTTGTCACATAATAAACACATCATCCTAGCCTACAATTAATGCGTTATATGCTTTTTTCATTATTTTTCAAATTACAGTAACTGGTGGCTAACATGAAGCTCACAAGATAAAATGTGGTATGAAACACAACCATCTAGAAGTCAACCTCAAAGTACCTAGTTCATTTCGGTAAAACGCTTGCATGCGACGGACATTTATTTCAAATGATCAGATACAACCGTAAACATGACTATGTGTTCCGCCTTGCTGTTCTTGTTTGTCTTAGTCATTTGACAATTTTTTAGGGACGAAGCTCCTTAGGGTCTAGCCTTGTCCGGCGTCCGTGCTCACATCGATTGCCATCCCATCTGTCTCCTTAAAGAAATAAAAAAAAATCTTTGCGCAGTTGGCAGGATTCGCACCTGTGCGGAGAGACCCCAATGGATTTCTAGTCCATCACCTTAACCACTCGGCCACGACCGCGGGACGAGTAGGGGGCTCTGAGATCTGGTAGTAACTCAAGAGCTGGGGATGTCATTAATGAAACGTTGCATGTAGCCGCTCAATGTCTATACAGGAGAGGACGCTGAGGTCAAATGCGTATATAATCGCGTTCAACTTTGCATGCATTGGCTCAACGTTTATATAAGAGAGGGCGCTGCAGCGAAATGCTCAAATGCGCATATAACCACGTTCCATACCACACATTCTCTTTCTGACATGAACCTTTCACTTAAGCTGTGGAGATGCGTTCCCACGGCTTCTAGCGGATCCAAGCTGATCCGCTAAAAGAACTAGTGGCTCTGCATTTCACCGACCATAAAGCAGTAATTATGAAGTCGAAACGCAACCCGGAACTCAGCACTACCTATGAACAATAAAAAAATCAGCACCATCAGCACTACCTATAAACAAAACCAGTACCATCAGCACCAGCAGAGCTCCGCCCCAATCAACATCATTCACCACGTGGAGATGCGGTCATTTTTTTAAAAAGGAACTGAATGAATTCTTCGTTTCTTTCCTGCAAAAGTAACGAAAAGTCGACCTCACCACCATTAAAATATAGGGTGCTTTACTTTAGTTTTGAGTCATTAAAATAAAACCCGAGAAAGGTACAATAATACGTTCTTTGCAGGTGAATTGAACGGCCATGGGAAGAAAATATAGGAATATAATCCTGAGGATCCCTCAAAAAATTACCTAAAGTTTTTTTTTTATTATTTTTTTTATAAATTTAGATTTACCGAAAATAAATATATGGCTTTAATTTCAAAATTTCGGGGCATCATCTGAACCACTAATACAGAAAAATGTTTGAAGTGTTGAAACATGTGGGAAGCTTGTGAGTGAGATAGAAATAAAACTTGGGTAACATTTGCAAGCCTCCTTGTGCGAAAACGCAGACGGTGAAAGTACCACCCGCGTTTACATACTGCAAGCCTTGAGCCTGTTACACGTGTAGCGCAACACCGTAAAGAGGGTCGTTAGGTCGTGTTCTTTTCTTAGGCTGACGCCGCGCTATTCTATTTTAACAGATGTTCGCACACTCCTAGTAGGTACCTTTCAGGTTACTCGAAACAAATATTTAAGTTCCGTGACAGGAAATGCTTTGAGTTGAGTTCCCGGTTGGTTATCATGTACAAAAAAAAAATACCATGCGCGATTAGCTATATTTTCCACCGTCGCAATTCAAATGCAGCTGGTCTGTGTTTTAATGTGAAAGCGCTCAGTTCAACTATTATTGAATGCATAGTAGTTTATTCTGTTTTATATAAAACGTTAAAGTTCTATGGAAAATTGCATTATATTTTTCTGAAAACTGAGTTTACAACGGCGTCATAATTTTGTTAAAAAATATGTGCATGGTTTTTACTAATTTCCTCGAGTAATCGCACTATCAGGTAGCATAATGTACATGGTCGTAATGTCACATCCTGTAACTCTTGCATTTTATTCATGGGATATTCAGTTTATAATATACTATCGCCAAGGAACAAATTGGAATGTGTAGTTTCAGTTGATTATCAGTTAAGTAAACTTTTCGGCAGATAATAATGCAAACAAGAAAATGGTTCGTATAAGTGTAAGTACGCGAGAAAACTTGCACTTATTCAAACTGCCGTCAAAATAATGCTATGAATATAATGTTTGTTGTTAGCATCAAACATCAAAGAAACGGAAGTATATTAAATCAGTCAAGAAGAAACCCAATGAGAAAATTGAGTAAACGCAAATATGGCGGCTCATAAGACATTATGTCCCTATAATGTTTGTTGTTAGCATCAAACATCAAAGAAACGGAAGTATATTAAATCAGTCAAGAAGAAACCCAATGAGAAAATTGAGTAAACGCAAATATGGCGGCTCATAAGACATTATGTCCCTATTATCACATTAGTGGAGCCAATTATTTTTTAGGAATTATATATAACAAACATCTCATATTTAAACGACTGGCGGTGCACATTTAGGGAGTTAAAAATACAGTTCTCCATGCGAAAAAGTTTTAATCCTGTCGTCATTTCCCATTTGAAAGAAAGAAAAGCTAATTTTCGTTTCTCTCAAGCGTTGTTTTTTCTTTCAGAATAATGTAATTGTAATCAAGGGCGACATCTTGTTTCTTCATTTTACGCAGATATCGGGTCAAAGAAGAGCAGAAGCAACGCGGAGTCTTTCAGTCCGACCTGCTGATTTCACAAGCGACTCGTGAAGACTCGGGTGTGTTCTCGTGCAAGGCCATAAATACGTACGGCGAAGATACAACCCATTTCCAAGTCATCGTGCAAGGTGGGTGCCGTTCAACATTTCGTCATGTGCTGCACCATGCTTTTAAAGTGTCGATATGGCCTGCTTCGGTGGTCGTTTATTGATTGATTGATTGACCTATATAATAATTTATTTATTGTTTGGTTGTTTGTATGACTATTTCGTTGACTGATTAATTGATGAATTCATTAATTTATTGAATGATTATTGTACTGCCGGCCATCTACTGCCAAGGCAGAAGTGTGTGCAGGTTGGGAAGGAGACATACTCCTATTACACAGTAAGACGTGACAACAACTAGCTAGGTAAACCTTGTTGAATTTAAAACCTCTTATTTTAAATTTGATTTTGATTTTAATCCAGTGCAATATACTGACGCTCCTATCTCGCGCGACAACACTTGGTCTTATTTGACTTTGAGCACAGTTTCGGTTTTTGTGTTAATCTTCACCTTCGGCACAAGATGCGCCGTCTGGATTTCGAATAAAGTGCCACTAACAAAACGGGCGGCAAACGAAAGCGCGAGGCGCAATGAGCACAAAACACAGATATTTTGTTACGAAATGTCGGTTAAAGAAACAGTGAATTTGCAGAAGTCAATGATTATGCATAAATTATCATTATCTGCATCCGCTCAAGGTCTGAGCTTGTTTTCATTCGTTGTTACAAAACAATTCTACGTGGAAGGGTGGTGAGCTGATCTGGTCGTTAAGCATTAAACATAGTTAAAATCAGCGAAAGAAATGGTAGAAAACCGTAGGAGTCAGGACAGACGCTGATATCACAACTCAATATTTGAGCATCTTTCCTACCTTATGTATTCTTCGAGAGTTTCCTACCTTTTTTTGACAGATTTTAACCACGTTTAACAATTCTATGAAATAGGAGGGTTTTGTATTTTAATTCATCCCTTGAAATGTGGTTTAACGTTTATTTCAGTGTCGCCTCAAATGTCCATAATCAGTGCCTCTCAGAACCTTTCAGTAGATTTTTTTTGTTACACCTTTCTGATCAAATTCATCAGCACGGTAAATTTGTCCCAGCACATTCCACATTGTTATCCAAACAACGCGAATTACTAGCCTAGCTTTACCGAACCTTGTGTTTTAAGAGTATCTACGTACGTGAAAATAAGAAAAGAGCTGATTGCTCGACTGACCTAAATTACAATGGGAAGATTCCATTGGGGCAAGCTTAAAACTGATAAAGAAATGAACATAACTTGGATAAAGACCAGGTCTTGCGAAAGCAAAATGTAAGATTTGAATGTGTGGGAGGTTAAAATCGATTTACGGCATCAAATCCGTTCGATCTGACTTCACACGAGACCAGCAAATGTAACCCAAATTTAATGTAAAGTTCCAAAGGGATAAGGACGATGTAAAATAAAGAAATCCATGCAAACTCCCCCCCCCCCTTTACCCCTAAAACGATAAAAACGATAAAATGAAAACGAATTGGTGAATGTCCTATATTTTGTACTCTTCTCATTTTGTATTTTTGCACGTTCTTTCTTTTCGATTTCTCCGTTCGTAACTTCTTCATTCAAACCCCACTCAGAGAAAAGGAATGCCTGGATATTAAATTTTGTGCATTTTTTTGTTTAATTCGCGCAAAGAAGGGAAGTGAGCTGTCGGCGCTTTGTCGTCTGATTATCATCGTTTGGCCAGTTATTTTCCCGTGGATTCGCTCGGGGCGTTCTCGCGGGTACAGGGCCGTCTCGAGGCAGTCTTAAAAAAATAAATAAAATGAATTACACACTGTACGAAGGTTTCACTGTGCTCTCCCCTCACCCCCCCCCCCCCCTTTCTAAAAAAAAAGGCCACAGTTTTGCTTGCTCCGACCCTTTCGTTTGGCAGAGTTGAAAGGGATTCTTCTCTATTTTATCGTTTTTCGATCAGTTCCTGGAGGTCAATTGCTGACGTTCGCAGGGAAAACCAATTTTTGATTTCGCAAATGTAGGGGGCAAGGTCGGCACTGCGGAATAAACCTGTACGTCGTAAAAATAACAACAACAAAAAAAAAGACAGTGCCTTTGTTTGAGAACGAGGAGAGCATATCTATTTTGTTTAAGAAAGGGGCTATGCACTGTCAACAAGAAAACAGTAAAATGCCAGCTGATGTCCATTTTGATGTGGATCCAGGATACAGATTTGTGTTTTGTTTTGATCTGTAAGGGGTAGGACAATATTGTTAGGGCCGATAGAGGCTACTAAATGCACTCTAAAATATTTCAGTTCATTTTACTATTTTCGAAACACTCCAAGATCTAATCACGGCGATCATCTGAGAGGTAGTGGCAAATAGACTCGGAAACATGCAAAACCTTAAAAAAGTAAACCATGTATTGGAACACTGAGCATGAGGACTCATATGAGCAGACTATGTTTATTACCGAATGTCTAGCTTTATTTTTAGCTTGATAAGATCGTTTTTTTTTTGTTTTCTATGGCAAATATTAGATTTATGCGTCTGTCATATTTCTGGTTCCAGTGTGTCATTCTATTCGAAAAGTATAAGGCATGGGACGTACTTTCCGAACAAGTAATGCGATTTATTTGGAACTTACTGCAATAAAAACTAAACATTAAAATTTTTTTGCCAAAAAGTGTGACTTTTTTATAACGCTGAATTCGACTTCTTTGGATAATTTATAAAAAAAAAGAATGCGCTAAACATATGTTTTTTATTTAGAAAATATATTTTTCTTTCGTCTATAAACGGACAAGAATGGGAGTGAGTCGACCGTTGAAACAAAGATGCATACATCCCGAAACTGTAAATTAAGATGCATGGTTCAATGCCCTATGACTTTGTGTGAATAGGTAAACGAACGACTACGTTAAGTATATGAGAGCCTGTACCTTCCCGTGGTGTTTGATTGATTTTTTGTTTCTTCAAAGTAAATTGTTTTATCTTCGTGCATTTGCCTGTTGAACATCCTCGTCAACTGAAACAGATAAATTTATATTCTAGCGAAGTGACAAACATAATTAAATCAAAGACCTAAAATGCGCTGCTCGCAAAATTTGTACAATGTACGCTTTGTACGGATCAATACCTTTGATGAAACACACCCAGCTCCAGGTCCTTGCAGTTAACGAAATGCCGATTTTCTTGGCTCTCTAATTCAATGCCGTCATCTGATTACAAAGCGCTATCTCGTATTGTGAAATTCACTGCAGTTAATGAAAAGGAATATTTTCATTTGGATACAAAAACCGAAATTCGTTTTCTTCGTTTTTTTTTTAATTGTTTTGTATTTATCTACACGTGTTGTTTACGGCAGAAAGCATGGCGCACTGCTTGCGATCAGATGTCCTCGCATCCACCATGTTCGCGTCATTCAGCCAACAAACCGGGATGTTTTTGCTATCTGAAGTTAATAGTAATGTGTCTCTGCACGAAGTACAATATTAACTTTTCTGCTGAACATTGAAAAAAAATGAAACAACTGTGATTTTTAAGAAAACAGTTCTAACAACTCGGTACGTTCGAACCACGGCTCACTCGTTTCGGAAAAATGAACATTTAAAGTCACTCTCTTTCCATTACGAGCCAGCAATTACGCTGGCAAAGAAACGCCGGAGTCTCGCCACACACATTTCGCCAAATTACTTTGGCAGCAAGGAGAATGCTCATGGTACTCCACACTAAAGGTACTGCGCACGCTCGCCTTTCTCAATACAGTGTGACAATTGTCTATAATTTGCTTTTTTGAATTTACAATTTTAGACACCATCATGTGTAACTATAGGCTACAAGAATGCTCCTTAATGTTTTTGTAATTTAGGAAAAAGTCAATATACCATTTCAATGAAGCTCTTCTAATCGGTGCCGATTTCGGCGGTCCTATGATGGTCCCGTGCCTTTCTCTCGGCATACCTGCTGGCCTGTAAGCTAAAACGTGAGGGCGTGGAAATTCGTAAACATTTGAATGGTGTTTGCAATCTAATGAACCGCATTTGTGTACGCCTGATGGCGGGCAAATATATTATCGATAAAGATTGTCTGGAAAAAAAATATATATGTTTGTATTTATATCTATTAATGTTTGAGTAAAATGCAACGCATTCAACTAATCCACGAATCGAGATGGGAAAAGTAAATATAATTTAGAGATCGAGCTTTGAGATTTTTTTTCGTTTGAATTACGCTTGAATGTGAACAGCCTTCATCAGATGTAAATTTGCACGCATTCCTAAACAATATTTATACACTTTATAATCTCGAGATCTTTTCAAAAGTTTGACATAAAGATGTTGCTTTTGTACCACCTTTTTTGGCAGCGAAAATGCCATTTTAAACATTTAACAAGAATTTTTAGATGTTTTGGAGTTCAACGCCTGTTTACGAAAAGTGAGTAGTGCCAGACACAAACAACAGTGTATTCAAAGACACAAATCATACTAGAACTTCGTTTAAACTATGCAATTCTCGCCTTTGACTGACTGGAATTGCTGACTGATCGTAATGCAGACACTAGCACTAGCTGGCCTTTGCGACACCCGCTGGCTGAAGCTGATTGGTTAGGCCATGCTACTAAACTGTTTATAAAATAAAATGTCCTGTGAAGCCAATTTAAATAAAAGACGCGACTTCGCATGTCAACTAATGCAAGGATAAGGACTTTTCCCCTATTTCATGAATACTCCGCTTTGGAAGGGGGTTGTGGTGGCACATCAAAGGCTTGATTTTAAGATTGCCACCTTAAAAACAGATTAAACTATTCAAGGTTACTTATTTCACTGCTCCAGCTTATGAAGTATTCCGAGTACATGCACGCGAGTAAGTTTCATGTTAGATTCGATCTCTTCGCGCATAACTTGCTCTTTAGCCCCTTGACGTGTTTCCCACCCACAGCCACTCCAGAGCTTTCTTTTCTTTTTGAGGGCAAAACAATACAATTAAAGATTTTCCGTAATTGTTTTTGCCATCTACCACGGCATTTATATTGCTACCCATTGCATGTAAACTATGAACCTTGAGGCTGCGCGAAAAACAAATCTCGACCGCTGCGA